GGGATCAAAAATAATATGTTCTTAAATGATTTCATACATAACAAATCGATAAGAAGTTTTCGAGAATTTGATTGAATTATTGTAAAAAGGAAACACAATTCATATCATACATCTTGACTTTCAGAAGACATATGGCACCAAAAAATACTTTAGTGATCAATGGTGATCTAATGATCTAATAGGGACTTTAAGAGGAACTTCTTAACACACAAGTGGTGAGAAAGTGGAACAGAAATTTAAATGCAACAACAACTTACATTTCTATAGCGTCTTCATGCGGGCAGTGTTTCAAAGCGCTTGCTTAAATGCAATACTTAAATGCAATACAGAAACATTAAATGAAATAATTTAGTAGATGTATTCTCACAAAACATTGCAACAGAATTTTTTTAAAAAAAACTTAACCCAAGGAATTAATTAATTCTATAGGTCCGAGGAGACTGTAGGATGAAAGTTTTAATTTCATTTTAAATGATAGATTTATTTATAACTTGGACTGACAGAGAGCTAGAGGCATTTGTTCACAGTTAAAGACTAGGCTGCAAAGTTGAGCAGTGCTACTGACAATGTCACAGTTGACCCAGATTTGTTTAAACTGTTGCTTGCTCCCACCACAAAATCAGATTCTCGAAGCACAAAATAACTTAGAAACGCTGGAGGACAATTATGCTAACAAGATAGTCAGAAGATTATTTTTTCATGACTTTGTAAATGACGAGCTTTAAAGGTAAATGTAATTTCAGTAACTATTTGGGCTAGAAACAGTGATAACTCTTTATTCTTACACGCTTTTTGAAGAGAAAGCTATACTAATTGTGATGGGTTCTTCTGAAAAAGCAGATAATTTTCTTGTTTTGCTGCTGCCTGCTGTTTCTCTGAAAGTAGCACATTAGTCTTGTCTGCCAGCTTCAACATGAAGGTTGCACTTATTAAATATTACAGTGATAATCCCTCAGCATTTTCATGTTAATGGATACAGATGTTGAAAATCATCAGACTTTAATGCTGACTGAAAATAAATAAAATTAAAGGCAGCAATGAACAAAATTGTCAAACAAAATGAACTCATTAATTGTGTTCAACCTAATAAGTTGCATCCTCGTTTTTAGGGAACTTAATCTCAAGATGAATAATAATAATAATCCTTGCATTTGATATAGCGCCTTATCATGTCTTTGAGATGTCTCAAAGCGCTTCACAAAATATACGTAGAGTAAATGTAGATGAAATGTGGCAACTAATTGCGCACAGCAGTGTCCCACAAACAGTTGGGTGGAAGGATTATTACCCCCAGAAAAGCGATCCACCAATCGACTAACAACTGGGTCCCTATTTATTGCTTGGTAAACAAAGGCGTGTGGAGCAAGGAAACTCAGCCATCGTTTTGGGCTGCATGGGAATCAAACCCAGATCCTTTTGCTTGCAAGGTGAGTGCTCCAACCATTGAGCTTCAGGACTTCAATGGTACATTAATAGGAAATATTATGTTACATTTAAGTATTGCATTTAAGCAAGCATCCCGAGACACTGCTCACATGAAGACGTTATAGAAATGTAAGATGTTGTTGAATTTAAACTTCTGTTCCACTTTCTCATCACCTTTGTGTGAAGAAGTTCCTCCTGAAGTCTCTATTAGATCACCGTTGATCAGAAAAACCTTCAAGAAGTGTTTTTTGTGAAATGCATAAGAGTGTATTCCCTATTAATATGACAGCATTAAATAAAAAGATAAAAGACAGACTGGCAAGTTCAGAGGAGACCAATGTATTGGTTTGTATTGGGTGATGTGGTAATAAGTCATAGATTTGGAGGGTCCAGGCTTTGATCTTTGTCCTACACTGAATAAATCAGTTTGTAAATGTCAGCACATCAGTTGACCTCAGTACCTCAGGATCAGGGATAGGAAATAGCCAGATTCCCCGTGAATGCTGGAAAGTTAATGATCCTTGGATTTGATCCACATTTGTGAGTGTTGAATGAGGGCAGAAATGTCTCCGCTGTGGTGCATACCCAATATCTTGGTTAACAGGTGAGGTGCCAGTAGACTACTGTCATGCATGGTACCAAACTCTGACTTAACACCCTAAGAGGTGTAGGGGAGAAATTTAGGAAAATAAGTCTGATTAAGCAGAAGCATTGGCAATAATTTGGCTTGATACTGCTTCCCTTTATAATGCCCCACTTCCTGAAGATAGTGACTTAGACTGGGTTGTGAGTCCACAGGTGTCACTAGCCATATAATATCCTACAGTAGCCATTCTTAAGGTGTAAGTCTGAGTAATTAGTCTGGGTAAACAGGGTGCTCAACCACTGACCCTGTCTGTAACCCTGACACTTTCAAAAATATACCTCCCAGCAACGGATCACACCAAAGTATTATTCTAACATTATAGTCTGTATACAATCAACCTGACAACTTGCACAGCACTTAAATAAAACCAACACTACAAACTAAAATGGCGAGTTTCTGTAAATCTATTTATATTCTAGTTTCCTCGTGGTCTTTAAATCCCATTATGAATCAAACAAATCTTATGAAAAAAAGAACTAATCGAAACAGCTTTTCCTGACAATGTGCTTTACATATCTCCAGCTTTGCAGGGGGAATTTTCTTCTAATCCCTCACATCACTTGAGGCTGTTTAATCTTGTATTGATGTCTTCCAGTGCTGTGATCACAGTTTAAGTTAATAATCTTCTTCCACACTTATATCACCAGAACATTAATTGTGGCCAAAAAAAAACAACCCTATAAATTTCTGAAGCTGGTAACCACAATCTAGAGTTAGATATTTGTCAATGACAATAATAATAAAAATAATAATCCTTGTATTTAATATAGCGCCTTATCACATAGTTCAGACATTTCTGAGTGCTTCACAGGATATTCAATAAAGTGGATTGACTGCAATTTTTGGGCGTAAAGCAGCAGCCAATTGCGCACAGCAGTGTCCAACACACAGTCGTGGATTGAGAAGTCACTTTTTTTTAAGGGATTATTACCCCTGGAAACCGATCCGCCAATCAAATAACCACTAAGTTCCTGCTTACTGCTAGGTAAACAGAGGTGTCTGGAGAAAGGAAACAATGAGAGAGATCTTATCTTATTCAATACTATTTTAGGTCCCTGTTGCTGCAGCAATGTTAGCAAAGTGCTATGCTGTGAGAAGCTCTTAACATATCTGGCATCTTTCCAGAATAACGATTTGTTAGCAGAGATGCCACTGAATGGATTTTATTTCTAACAGTGATGCATTAATTTGAAATAAATATTAATTTTGTGCTAGATTTTCTTTTTTGATGAATTCACTCTTCAACATTCAGAGGGATTAATGCCCCCTTTTCAGTGCCAAGCAACAATTTATTTTAAAAATGGGATCCTAATGTGGATCAACCTACTCACCATTCTGATGAGTTACTGCTGGTACTATTGGCATGCTAAGTACTTTTGCTCGCATGATGAGAATAGCATGCAAATCTATGTATAAGTCAATGTGGTTTAGAATGTGTAGTACTGTGTTATCTTGGTAAAGGATTTAAGCATTCTATGTAGATCTATCAAATATATCTATAATGAGCATTTTATGGAGAATTGGGGCTACATCTGGAAAGAACTGCTGAGTAGGATGGAATGGGTAATTGATTTTCCAAGTACCGTTGATCGCATATAATGCACAATGTTGATTCCTCTCAAAGAGTGCAAAGCTAAAACTCCTAGAATCATATTCAGTGTAAAGCATAGAAATGTGCATCCGATTGGGTCTCTATGGCTGTTCGCTCCCCACGGCAGCTATCCACTTTAACACCATACCTGTCAGTCAATCTATCAACATGAAATACTTGTCATGGACGGTACATTTTTGTTCAACTCTTAACACCACGTTGAAACTGCAGCACTGACAGAGCTGTAGCTTTAGTCCTTGTGTTGCACTACAACTGATGTCGCTGCCTGCAGAGCTGCTGACTGCTGTGTGCAGAGGTGCATTTTCATTCTTCCTGTGGTGACAACATTGTCGAAGGCAGTACATGGTGACTGCCGTTGTCACCAGTGGTTCCAGCTGCCATTGCATTCTTAGCACAAGCAGCGAGCAATTCAGCTGGGTCTTGCACACGAACAATGTACAATCTTCGCTTTGCAAGAAGTGAGGAATGTGATTGCAAATTAAAGTCACAATTGGGAAACAACTGAGCTTGTGTTACTGTGCACTGCAGCTTGCAATGTAAACAGGACAGAATTCCTTGCATCGGCAGTCTCAGGATATTGAAGAACGCCTTCCAACTGTACATCTCGAGTATAAATGCTTATTATTGTGCAAGTGTGTATACATGCTTGGATGTTAGAATATAATGGGGCTTACTTTTACACTTAAGGTATCCCATTAAGCAATACAAGAATGCTGTGCTTTGTGATGAGCAGTTACACAGACAATCACTGAAATCATTGGCCTAGCTTCAAGCTGTGTAATGAATTGCATCAAAGGCATGTATCCGCACATGCACACTAATAAAGAATTTATACTGTGATGCACAGTTAGCTTCATTATATAATACTAATAATAATCATTGCATTTGATACAGCGCCTAATCACACTGTTGAGCATCAAGCGTCTCAAAGCGCTTCACAGAATATATTGTAAAGTAAATTGATTATATATTTTGTGGGCAAAACACAGCAGCCAAATGTGCCCAGCAGCGTCCCATAAACAGTTATGCATTGAATTAACCCATTTTTTCTTAAACATTGTTTTAAATATAATATAAATTTGGAGGGTGAATTCATGCCTCAGGGCAGACTACAACTTTAGTCAAAAGTGATCTGATAATCACATGTTCAAGCCTCATTTTGTTACAAATTCCATGAAGAAAATTGTCATATACATCATGAGATCGCAATGTCATACAAAGAAGCTCGCTGTGCTGCCAATACCAATGAGGCAAATAACAAATTAAAACAGAACTGTCAATGCTATGTTATTAGATGGACAGCATCATTATACTTACCCATAACAGCCAGAGCTGTTGCTTTGGTTAAGTACTGGGTCATTGACCTTATCACTTCTAAATTGTTCCCTTCCAGATTGCAGCTGTTTATGGTTCCAGTTGCTGAATTAATCCAATATAGCTTGTTTTCAGCATAATCAATTGAAAGGCCTGCAATTAAACAACAACAGTTTTAAACAAGTAATGTTTGTGTAAAAGGAAAAAAAAGGTGAAAGTTAGGGACCATTCTTTATACAAATCAACACTAAGAGTGGATACAGCCAAAGATGCAAAATAGGGTAATGCAATTCAATCAAGATTGCCCAGCAAATGACTTGTCCTTTTACTAATTTCGCACAATTGGTAACCTGTAATTTTTTGGGTTTCCAAACTAAGTTCAGAGAACCTGCTTATTTGAAAATGTAGAATGTCAATTAATCAAGTCCTGGACAAGGGCCAACCTTCTCCAACTCAATGTCAGCAAGACCGGGGCCCTCCTGATTGGCTCGCGCCAGCGCCTTCCCACCTCGGGCGCTGGCAGCATCAGCCTCCACGGCTGCACCCTCAACCTCACTAAGCCAGTCAGGAACCTGGATGTCTTGTTTGACCCTGAACTGTCCTTTCTCCCCCACATCCTTGCCATGACTGGCACTGCCGACCAACATCTCTGCAATATTGCCAGACCCTGCCATTTACTCATCCCCCAGGCTGCCGAAACCCTCACCCATGCATTCATCACCTCAAGGCTTGACTATGGGAACTCCGTCCTCATCGGCCTTCCCAACTATTCCCTTGTGTACTCTCATGCACCAGGCTCCGCGACACCATCACTCCCACCCTCGCCCAACTCCATTGGCTCCCCATCCCCCAGAGGATTGAGTTCAAGATCCTCATCCTCACCTTTAAGGCCATCCATTGCCTTGCCCCCTCTTACCTCTTTGACCTCCTGACTCCCTATCAACCTGCCCCTCCCTCCGTTTATCGGGCTCTGGTCTACTCCATGTCTCCCTCCCAACCCGCCCTACCATCGGTGTCCGGGCTTTCAGCCTCTCTGCCCCCACACTCTGGAACTCCATCCCACGATCCCTTCGCCTCGTTTCCTCCCTTCCCTCCTTCAAGGTCGGTCTCAAGACCCTTCTTTTCCACCATGCCTTTGGTCTCCCTCCCACCTCTCTGCCTTCTCTCACCCCTACACTAACCCGCCCCCATGCTTGGGCCCCAACACCTGACTGTTCAGCGCTTTGGGATGTCCTCCCGACGTGAAAGGCGCTCTATAAATGTAATTTTGTTTTTGTTGTTGTTGTAACATGCATTGTTGTATTTTTTTGCGTGATCCCAATGAAATCCGGCTGAACTGAGAAATCGTTGAATGGCTTGTACTTTGTAGGACACAACATTAACAACATTAACACTCTAGATATTCTTGAATTCTAATGTACTCAGAATCAAATTGTAAAAAATATTTTATTGGAAAAGGCCTCAGTGGTCTAGATTCTAGAGTCAAAAGCCACAGAATCTGCACTGACACTGAAGAAAAATCACTTTTTTTTATAGAATGTGTTTTTTTTCCTGGGTGTTACACAAGTCATGAAGGAAATGGACCACAGAGGGGCAAGCCAAGGGCAACTCAGACTCGTTGCATTACTGCTACACAAGACAAATCATACTGCTCCCAAAACAACCTCTTCCTAGAGCTGGACTCAAGCTTAGTTCATGCCGTGTGAACCCCTGCTTAAAGAGCACATCTGGTGAAAGCAATTTGCTGCCTACCATGCAGTATAAATACAGCAGAAGTCTATGGGCAGCACTTAATAATAACAATCCAGAGAATATGCTAATGATTTACATGCTTACACTGAAATACCATCTGATATCAGTTCCAAAGATACATATTTGGGACATAATTTATGTCTTCGTAACATGTTTTAACAAGCTTCCCAAATTGTTCTGCTCATTTATTTCTTTAGCATTCTCTAACTTACTCCAGAGCAATTGGCTTTCAGAAACTGGATCCCAGCCTATTGAACATAACTTTGATCCCACATAGAAAAATATGCCAGTGAAATCTGGTAAGATTTAATAATATCATTTTAAAAATATTTTTTTGTTCATGTTACTTCAATGTTTGAATCTTTTGTTTAAAAGAATAATGTCAGTTACACTGGTTACATAATGGGCAGAAGCAAATTAAACCATATGACACTGTCATTTACCATTTTAAAAACAAATGGAAATCTGGCAGTACTACTGAATTATATTCATTATCTTTGATATCGCGCTCTGTACATTATCTATTTAATTCTTAACATGTATGCTGCATTCAATCCAAGTTACTTACTTACTGGAAATTAACTTTATATAATGCGATATAAGCGCTGCACCTTTCACGCCAGGAGAAGTTCCTTTTATATTGGATGTCTCAAAGTGCTTTACAGAATACAGTGAAAGTGGATTTTGTAGGCGAACGCAACAGCCAATTTGCACACAGCAATGTCCCAAAAACGGCCATGAAGTGAATGGTCCATTTTATCTGGAGGACTGTTGGCCAGAACACTGGGAGAAACTCCTTTCTCTAGTGGTATTGGAATCTTTAATGCCCCCCTAAACAGGCAGACAGGACTTCGGTTTAACATCTCATCCGAAGGACAGCACCTCCACAATGAATCTCTTCCCGAGCTCTGCATTGGCGTGTCAGCTTAGATTGTAAATCCCGGTGTGAAGTTCAAAGCCACAACTTTCTGTCCTAGAAGCGAGAATGTTACCAACTGAGCCTGGCTGACAAATTGTGCACTTGTATAAATTCTAGATTTAAATGTGCTGTTTAAAGTCCAACTGTTTCCCGTTGAGATAACTTTAATCAAACTAGCTATGCAGAGTAGCATTCCAGAGCTCAAGCGCTCAAGTTTTTGTTGCCACTAATCAAAAGTAAAATCGCGGTTAAAGAAATTACGACATATATTGGTAAAATAAATATAAAATTCATGACTTCATGCATCATTAAGATCAGATTTTATTCGTTCACCTGTTCAAATGGCATTATATCGGCAGGAAGTGTGTACCACAAACCTAGCAACTCAAGAACCATTCAACAATTGCACATTTTTGACCGATTTAACTTTTAAGTGCTCCCCAAAAACTCCACAATGAACTGAATTTCCTAGTATTTTTCTGAAAAGTCATATGAAAAATGAAAATTTTTTTGCATTGCTTTTAAAAATGTTGTGAGTGAATAAATCTTCATTAAAACAATCTTGGTTTGAACAATAGCTCTCAGATCACAGATTCTGAAATGAAAAAGCTATTCAGCCAATAGTGCCCCAAGGAAGTCATTACTCACTGTTTGTCAGCTAAAGCAATTGCAATATAGCATACATTTGATAATACCTGAGTTTGTTGCATAAAATGGTGTTTATACAACACGAGTTTGGTTCTTCAGCTCGCTGAAGCGTTTGTATTCTGAAATATCTCCCAAAGTAATTGATTTAAATAGGTTGTGAGCAAGCTATACCCCTGCAATTGGCAACAAAATGGCTATTTTGTAAATATAAAGCCACACTATACTGTACAGCTCTTGTTTTGCCATTTTTATTTTGCATAAATGGTGCATTTCGACACAAAGAACTTGCTAGAAACTTTTGCAACATCAGCTGATTGAAACAGTAACAAATTCACAAGGCTTTGGGAGAGAGTAAGGAATGGGTGAAGTCCAGTATAAACATTGGCATGAACTGGTTGGGTTGAGTCTCCTGTTTTTGTACTGTACATACTTTGTAATCTTTATAGATATTTTAGGAAGACACTGACAAAAGTTGGCCACATTTTGTAGTCATGGTATTTTCAACCGCAGTAATTCCTTTGCTTTTGCAGATTGAAACTCTCTGAATTTTTAAGAAATGCCCGAAAATGAATAACATTAAAATTGCAGAACAGGTTAGAGCTTTAATCGTTCTTGGAAGCTAATCTCTGTAGGCTGAACAGTTCACTATCTTTGTTTTACAACCATGTTAACCTTTATTAATGTATGCTGGATTAGACTTGCTAAACCCTTTTGTACTATATTAATTGCTCTTTTTGGGCCATGTCTATGCTTTTTAAAACCTGTAATGATGAATCTAATGAACTGCATATTTCAATATTATTCTTGCAGACCTAAGGGGAATTTCACAGAAACAGGCACGCAGGGCGAAGCAAACTGTCTGAACAATGTCTATCTTTGACTGAATCGTTGTGCAGGTTTGAGACTTATATCTCACATCTTCTTATGACACATTTCACACAATTATTACTGTAAACCACAAGAGAGCCTATAAACCACAAATACAATTAGTACCAAGATACTCTTCATGCTGTTTCTCAGCTGAAGGTTTCATGAAATGTGTTTGATCATTATCTTTAATATTGTGTGCTTAATTTATATTCAGATCACAAATGATTGTGTTTATCACGGTGCTGTCTTTCATTGTGTGTAATTAAAACAACATATCATTTGAATAACCTGAGAATATTATTAGCATCGACTCCCTCCCAAGCAGTTCTTTGACCGTGAAACCCCATAAAGTGGAAAGTTAATGAAGAAGCAATCAGCCCAGATACCCAATATTTGTTTATTGTTGGCCGTTGAGCTGCTGAAAACTTTTAGTTTTATCACTGAACAATTTACATATTTGTATTCAAATGAACCTAATGTTTATGCAAGAAGTTCTTTTGCTTATCCTTTTTTTTTTGTGAGTCTTCTATTGTCGTTGCTTTCCTGCTTCCAAGACAGCAGGCATGCAAAACAAGTTGATCTCAGGAAGGTTAAATGTAGGATAAAGTACTATTGGAATCAGTGCCTCTGGGCTAGAAATATGGGAATAGAGATAAGTTCCTAATCCATTGAACCCTGCTTTGTACTGTCTACATTAAGGATACAATCGGAGGGGAAATACTTTTTTAAGAGTGCACGGTTTCTATGCGCTCATATAATATGTAAAACAATCGATCAATTCATTAAAACAACTTTTAAAAAAAAAGATTTCTTACTAACACGCACAATTGAGGCCACAACATGGAATACATTTTGCCCACAAATATACAGTCAATTCACTTTGCAGTATATTTTGTAAAGCACTTTGAGACATCTCAAAGACGTGATAAGGCACAATGAGGGGTATGGGATAGTTGGGGCTCAAGGGGAAAGTAAACACAAGTAGAGACTAGTTGGATCAAATGGCACATTTCTGTGCTGCATCACTCCAGCAACTCCATGTAACCGTTGGTAAAATACACTGTAAAGATTAATTGCACAGTTTACCAAAACCGAAAATATGTACATTATAAATAAATGATAAAAAATTGCAGAAAGAAAGTTAAAAGTATCAATTCAATTTCAGCATCAAGATCAGGATCATAAACCACACATAAGTTTAATATTTCTTGAACTTCTCAACTGCATTATTACCTTACAGGTATCATTTATTCTATAAATTGCAAATTGCTCTGTTTTATAGAAAATGTTAATGGCTCCATTTAATTGCTACTATTATTGCTCGTAAAATGTCATAATGGATGTTGGACTTTAGTCAGAAGACATTCATTTTAATTATTATAATAGCTCTATGTAATTTCACAAACAATTTCTGGTGTTAAATGTCCAGTGTCATCACTGGAGATGTGAATTAAAAATGTAGAATTTTTAGCTAAGTGCTGGTAATAAAATTAATGACGACCGTAATGTTCATTTTCTGAAAGAATTGCAAAATTTGCTTTGATATCTTGCTACAATCTGGTCAAATAATTGCAAGAAATAGTCCCATAGATCACAATATCTCACTTTATATGCAGAGTACAGTCCCAATATTCGCTTTTGTGTAACAAATCACTGCATTTTCAAATGAAGGGGAGAATTTTGTTACTTTGTCATTTTACAAGCAAATGCTAATTATAAGAAATAGTTAGAAGATAATAATATAAATATAATAGATAGTTAGAATAAAACAATGATATTTACTGTGTTCTACAGCTCTGAATAGGCTGGACAACTACATACATAAACAAATAAAAAAGTCAGTCTGTTCTCAACTCTGATTTGAACAAAACAACACTTGCAATGTCCTTTGTTATTATTCAACAATATTTTATGAACACTGTTTAATTTCAGTTCCTTTTAATGAACAGAATAATCAGCATTTTTGGATAATATATCTGTAATTGATTTTCAGACTTTTCATCTGTTACTTGTGTAGAAATCCAAATTAATGTTACATTAATTAAGTTATTTCTAAAATATGCACCACTTTTTTTGTGTTTTTTTTTGGTCAGCTGGGTGCTTGCACACGTGGAAACCCATCATCATGCTGCAGAGGTTCCAAACCAAACTGGAAGTTCCATGCAATCCACTTACACATGCAATTTCCAGAGATATTTTTTTGAACGGAAAGCCTACTCTCTCCCTGGAGGGACGCATCCTGCTTACCTAATTTCAGAAAGTATTAGGCGCAGGTTGACAAGAGCCAAGGCTTGGGTACCCCAGAGTGTGCGTTGGAGGTACTACGTACATTAATAACCAGCTGAAACCACATAGATTGCCATTGAAGGCACTGCCTGGCAAGCTTTCCCATTGCTGGTCCAGATAGGACACCGTACCTGTTAGGGCTTTAGCTTGCAAGGTTAATGGGAGGCGAGTAGGAAGAGTCCCTGGCCCCAGTGACTAGTCTGCCCTTCCAAGACCTGCTGATGAGCCATTCTGGCTGCGCTGTCATCAGCAATGCCTTGGAATACTGCAGACCCTCCGGGCTCAGGAACCGGACTACCCAAACCACTACAGAGGATTTACTTAATTCCGACATTCTGTTGGAAAACATGTCACCTTAGAGCCAGGTAAGCTCCAAGTAGACCCTGCTTACCTCCCCTACATGAGGATAGTCACTAGTTGGTCATTTGACATCCATGAAACATGGATTTGAGCACTCACTAGGTAGGTGGTAGGTACAGGAACTCCCTGCGAGGTCCCTGGTAGGCAACACAGCTCAGCGTGAAATGCATGAGAGCATTGCCACTGTCTTCCAGCCCACAGCTCAGGCACACATCCCTTCCCATTCAGCAATGGTTCCACCAATTTTTTAAGCAGGTGCTTATCTCTCTGCAGGCTAATCAAGGTGGATTCCAAGCGCTTGACGTACAAAAGTGTGCTCATGAACTCGGACTCCAGGAAACGTCTTCCAGCAGCTGCTCAATCCAGGTCCTCATGTGAGGGGCCTTGACAAACACACATCCCACTGTGAAGACGACTCCATCTCCAAGGGGCTTAGCGACAGGTCATTGAAGGCCGGAACCCTCCCTCACTGCAATCGCTTCCCATGTTTGCCACAAATTCACCTCACTGCTTGATCCTGGACTTTAGAAATGGGTCGTAGGAAAACCCACCGATGCATCCCCAAGAGCCCGGATCAATAAAGGAGGACTGTATGAACACAGGTCTTAAATGCCACAAGCTTGACCTGCATTGGAGCTTTGCTGTTCTTTATTAGTGTAATATTAGTTGCAAATTTAAAAATAAAATCTGGAAAAGCAAGAATGGAATATCCATGCACTAGCAGGCAGTGTATGGGTTAATACTTATCTCCTAGCACAAATAAATCAAATCATCTTGCATTATCTTCCTATGGTAGCACCTCAGTCTTTACATTTGAATTGGTAAGAAAGGTTTATTGTATGATGAGAATTAAAACCTAAGCCTTTTGATTTATACTTCGATCCTGCAATCGTATTGTATAAAATTGAAACATAAGGCAAATTTGACAGAGAAGAAATCAACAAAGCAAAACTAAATGGAGGTTAATGCTTTCTTTGACAACGTTCTTCACTTCTTTACATAGCTGGTGCCAATGAAATTATTAAAATACTCGTCAATTAGTGACACTGACTCAGCTCTAAGGATAGCAGTTTACAAGGTCAAAAATGCACTTAGCAGATTATGAGACAATCAAATGGTATCAGAATCCTGATCAGCAAATTCTTCCAGACTGTAACAATGTGTTTTGGATGAAAAGCTTGACTGTGACCCTTTGATAAAAGAACTCGAAAAAATATTTGACATTTAGAAATTCCAAGCAATCACCAAACCAGTGATGTGGATCCAGAAATTTAAGGTAATGCAGGTGTCTCGTAGAGAGCAAATACAAAAAAAAACACTCTGGGACAGATGTTAGCAGAAAGGTGGAAATAGATTGAATGGCCCAAGGTTGGTTTTGGTTTGATGGGAAGAGGGAAGCGAAGATTGCTGTGAGAGACATTGTGAAGAGCATTGATTCTGTTCTGAGGCCACTTAAACAGTGCTTTTAAAATTGAATCAACCTCATCTGCTGCAGTGTACATTGGATTTCACTACTTTGAATTTCAAACAAACTTTGCATATAAAATGTAGAGTTGAAGCATTCCAAAGCACAGCAGTCAAGGAAAATGAAATTATTTGAGAACCAGACTCATCCTTCAGTAAATACGATAAAACTAAACTAACCTAAATTGTAGTAGGTAATGGATTACTTTTCAAGTGCATGGAATCTTCAGTACAAACTATTTCATTAGTTGAACTTGCTTAAAATAACCTGACAAAAAGGTGCCCCATCTACTTTTTGCCCCAAATAGCAAACATGCTGTTAGTGGGACTTTAAATCTCCCATCATGTGTGTTTCCTTGTCAACTATTGTTTATATGTTCAAATCCATTCTGCAGTGTTTACCATTTTCCAGGTATTTATTATAACATATAACTGGAATTATGAGAAAGTTTAATTACAATCACATTTTCTATCTCAGATACCAATCCATTAAAAATACTGCATCTTTCTACAGGGAAAAAAATCCTGTGCATGATTCAATCAGTTAAGGCATTAAAATAATCTTGCTATTCCAATGGGATACTGTCAAATAAAGACAATTCAGCAATTACTGTATAAGAAAATATTTGTATTACCAACTGGCTCCTTTTCATTTGAAAAAAGATTCTTGATGCCACTGCCATCCATGTTTGCCATGCTAATGCTGTTAATATCAGTCCAATACAGCTTTCTGCAGGAGGAAAAATAGCAATCATGAAATAAAGTTGCATAAAACACGGAGAAGACAAATTACATAACCCTAGCAAGAAAAGGATGTATTGTAATAATAATAATAATAATACTTGCATTTGATATAACGCCTTTGAGATGTCTCAAAGCGCTTCACAGAATATACTGTAAAATGAATTGACTGTATATTTTGTAGCATGAGAATGCAACATAGGAAATGTTATGAACAGGGAAAGCCCAAAGCCTCTCTCCAGTTATCTCAATTCCCCACTTCCTCTGGCTTGATTCTCTGAAGCCCTCAATTAGCTGGTTTCCAGAAACATTCCCACAGTAGTTGTCTCTTGAAGCTGTTTTTACTATTTGTTTCAATATCATTTCCCTGGCAATCTAATCCATGAGATAGTAAACCTTTGTGTGGTTGTTCTGTTTGAATTCACTTCATATTCTTGATGGATGTCTATATAACATGAGAATCAACTTCACCAATCTCCTTACAATATTAAAAAACCATACGGGTCACCTCAAATTTTCTTAACTAAAAAGAATAAGGCCCTCTACTTTTGCATTTACCCAAATTCCCAAATTGTTACTGTTATTCTACACTTAACCCTCTCAAAAGCAATAACATACTTCATTTTGCATTGTGAACATAGTACTCCAGATGAGACCAAAGAATAATGTGATCACCTCTTTGGATCAGAGACAGTCACAATCACAGGGACAGTCACAGATTTCAAGATCAAGTCTGTTCTCAGGTAGAAATGTGAAAAGAGAAGGTTGTTTGGCTCACTAACCCTGCTCTGCTACTTGCGCAACGCAAATCTTAAATATCTGTAAGTAGCATTATTAGTATTTCTAGAGTTATAAAGATATTACTATTCTTCCTATGCAACTCTCTTATCCAATGCCAAACCTTCTGCAAATTCTTCACATTGTTCCCTGATAACATGAGTGTATTGCCTGAAGCTATTAGGGCTTCTTCTGCCTTTCACTTTCTGATGCTGTTACAAGCTGTACCCATCTCATCAGCCCCCTACACTCCAAATCATTCCAACTTCCTGGTCAATAATTCAACACTCCTTTACCTCACTGCCTTGGTTCCTCAGCACTACATATTATCCTTTCCAAACAAAAAGCAATGTTTCTTCAAAAAACACAGAGCAACTGAAAGAATTCTAGCGGATTTCTGAGCTGAATATTTGCTGTAACTATAAGTTACGGTTGTTCATACCCAAGTTACTTTTATTGCAGTGATCTGTTAGATAATGATGAATTCTGCTTTATGAACTGAGATTTTCCTTTCTTGCACGTGCGGTCGATGTCATTGTATCAGAAGGCGACAGCAGTGGCTATTGCAGTGCAAGAAACATTTAATAGAAATATGATGTCTTTGATACAACAGTTATACTTTACCCTTTTACTGGGTGTACCACAAGACATTGCGGTTGATCAAGTCCATGAATGATGGAAGTTCTCAGGGAGCCATTCAATCTAGCTACATTTATTTGAGCTTCCTCCAAATCAGAACTTGTCCAGTATATATTTCTGGATATCCAGTCTATTGCAAGGGCATGGGTGTAAGGTAGATCTGTAACAAAGAACAATTAAATTCGGGAATCTAAGAGGAAAAAAAACTCACCTACAAACAAATGTCCTAACCTTGGGCCCAATAAGCACACTTCACCTATTTAAGATCAGTTGAACAATCCAACTTGTCATCTCTGAACATTTGCAAAAATATCTGTGTGGTTTTATTTCCAAATAAATCATTGCTTCACTGTTACTTGTATAGTAACATACAAGGGTAATCTTTGGCACCCAGAACAATGTATTTCTGCAATTTATGACAAATTAAATTAAATTGAATTGTAAGCAGCTCCAAAAATTAAAAACTGCATTAAAAAAATGAATAAATCCTGGACAATCTGAAATGCTAAATTATTAGAATAAACTGAAACCCAGGTATAGTTTCCACTCATTAATATTGCTATATATTATACTTTTCTCTAGGACTATTAATTGCCACTTACCTGCTGAGACCACAGTTTCTATTCCTGTGCCGTTTATGAAGGCTCGCTTGATAAACCGGGGCTTTAAATCGGACCAATAAATTCGTTCTTCTAAAGCATCAAAATCAATTGTTTTAACTTGACTGATGTCAGGGTCAGTAAACGGTGTTATATAATTGTAGTAGGGATTATCAGTGGCAACCCCACGGATCTCTGAATTTCTTGAATATATTAAAAATTCTTTTTGTTCTGTACAAAAACATGGGGGAAAAAGTTACATCTTTGACTAGTTGCGCTTAAACATTGAATACTAAAGCTGATTGCGAAGAATGTGTCAATTAAAAAATGCCATCTTTCCTAAAATCTAATCACAGAAGTCTGCAGCTGTTAAAGAGAAGACCCCATTACTTTTTCAGGGCAACCGAGGATGGACAATGAATGCTGGCAAAATGTCACCATTGCCCACATTGCAAGACATAGAAAATAGAAACACCTCTCTTGATTTCAGCACTACTTGAACTGCTTGAAACATGTATCAATATTTTTTTAAAACACTAATTTAGACAATCACCGGAATATGTTGGCATAACTTATGAAGCTTTCTCTCCCTTAACGTTGCGTCTGCAAGATAATTGTCTGAACTTTAACTTGATTGAACCTAGGTGATGATATTAAATGCTTCACTCTGCACTGAAGGTCTGGTAATTCACTTTTTTTTAAATCTCTGCCTACATTAATTTACTGCTTCCATTCAATAACAATTTCACTTGAGTTTTCTTGCAAGACTGATCAGATTTGGTTGCAAGTTTCATAGAAAAGAAATGTTATGGGCTGAATCAAAGAAATCTGATCCTGAACATTTGTGAGACAAGATCTCATTTGAACAATATATTTTGCTGTAGATTTTAGGAATTTGATATGGTTCTATTTTTGATTGATTTAATTTATTTGTATTCAAACCAATTAAACAGTCAGTTCGCTTGACCTTAACTTTGTTTGATGAATCACCTGATCAGGCTAAAACAAGACTGCAGACGAATAAATAGTAATAAATAGGTCATATCAAAGGATGCATATCCCAAACTATCTCTTCTATAATCCCAAAGCTTGGGAATCCAAATGAGGGACTTCAAAGGAATTGTCGGATATCGGATATATGATTTTTCTTTGCAATTATGGGTTTCCAAACACTTACCATAGCAGTTCTTCTCATCAGGAGCAAGTTTCATTAGATGAGGACACGTACACGCAGCAGTTCCATTGTAATTTATCAGGCACAAATGGGAGCATGCCCCTCTGCCATGGTTAGACTCACAAGGATTTGGTGCTGCAAAAACAACAACTAGCATTTACTGTATATAGCACCTTTCACCCAGGATAACATCTTGGAGAACTTCACAGTGGCGTTGTTTTAAAAAAAATGAAATCAAATTTAAAATAAACCAGTATTCAAACGTAACTGAAGTAAAACAATCTTACAAAGTGTACACTTAGATGCAGGTTGTTAATCCCACTAATGACACCAATATTTTTTGATTTGAAAGCACAATAATTTAATACAATAAGAATGAAAGCCTAGAAAGACATTTCTAAATAATATGCAGATAAGAGATTTCTTACCCTATTGAAAGTCAAATACATATTTAACCTTTCTCTTTGATCACCTAATGCATGATCATAGAGACAACTTGATTTTTACTGTTAAAATCATTAGGAAGGAGAAGCTTTCAAGTCAGACCATTGCATCGATTGGTAATTAAGAGTCATTTAGAGCAGGAAGCCAGCCAGCTTAATTGAAGTGGTAAGTGCGTGACCAACCTTCCGCTGCTTTGTAAGATTATAAAGAGTTTTGTGAATGGTGTTTGGAGCTGCTCAATTGTCAATGGCCTTAATATGCAATGATTCATTAATAAAGACAAAGTGTTGGAACTTCAGGTAACATGTTACACATAATAATAATAATAATAATAATAATTATCCTTGAATTTGATATAGTGCCTTATCATGTCTTCGAGACTCATTTTGTCAGAGAAACACAGCAGCCAATTGCGCACAGCAGTGTCCCACAAACAGTCATGGATTGAATGATCACATTATTATTATTTTTGTATTTACACATGTCATGTCAATTTATGGGAATTCTGCAACTGAAAGAAATCTTTTTTAAAAACAGTGCAGTATGATCTTTAACGCCCAATTGAACCAATAAACACAACCTTTTTTTAACATCGCATTTGAATGACAGCACCTTCAATCACTCAACATGTTCACAGTATTGCACTGGACCATCAGCCTGGATTCTGAGCTGAGAGTCTGCTGCTGGTATTGTTAGTCAAAAATCATATTCTTAAAAAACGGTACAATGCAGTTGATGAACTAGTTTTGAAAAATAAAAGATGGAAATGAGCAAAGGCCATTCATTCTTCAAGCCTTTATAGACTGTGAAAAAAGACATTTAAATGTTTAGTATTTTCTTGAGAAATTGAATTGAAATTAAAGATAATTTTCAAAATAGGGATCAGAGATAGGTAGGTAGCATATGATCCTTAATATAGTGTAAATGTTGGACTTGTTTCCTTACTCCACACACCTGTGTTTTCCTAGCAGTAAGTAGGAACCCACTTGTTGGTCGATTGGTGGATCGCTTTCTGTAGGTCATAACTGTTTGTGGGACACTGCTGTGCGCAATTGGCTGCCGGGATTTGCCCACAAAGCACACAGTCTTTACACTTTACAGTATGATCTGCGAAGCGCTTTGAAATGCCTTGAAGACGTGACAAGGAGCTATATCAAATGCAAGGATTATTACTATTAACTTAAAATAACACCCATGAGTTCTGACTCAATGGCGAGAACGCTACCAACTGAGCAAGGCTGACACCAAAACAGCCAGGCTGAAATCCAAACCATTTTAATAATGTACAATTGTATCTGAATAGAGAACGGTCTAAAGTACTACCAATACATTATTGATCCATTACATTAATTTTTAGTGTGGTTTGCATTATTTAAAAGCTCTGTAGGAGGAAGCTGCCAGGCATAACTTTGAAAATTATTTAAGCGCAATGAGTAATATTTTGTTTTAAATCAGTGCAATTTGACAAGTTAGCAAGACAAGACTGTAGGTTTCATTTTCCTTTATCTTGGGATATTAGTAAAAGTTCTTCGCAAGTGTGATGAAATATTTACTGCTGGTACGACCGTTTTTTGTGTTTTCAAACAATGTTAGCCAATTTAATTTCTCCAAAGAAAACTTGGCATATTTTCATAACGATTTAGTTAGGTCCCTGGTTACTGATAGGATTAATGAAAATGTAGCAAAAGCTCAAGGCTCTGTGTGATCCATAGATGCATTGAATGCTTTACATTTTATCATTAAAGCACTGAATGTTTCTTTTCAAAGCATGCATCTGATGTGCAGCCTGTCAGAGATGTTTTACTTTATATTTTATGGGTCAGAATGACATTGGCCTCAACTATGCACTAGCTATTTCTGCCAAGCACCCAGATATGCAGTCTCAGATTTTTATGGTTCAAATGCACAGGTCAAGCATATCTGTAAATAAAACTCACCATTCACTAAACTTTTCCTCCACTCTAAAAATATAAAAATATAACAGTTCACATTTCCAACATGCCTTCTGGTTAGTAATGTCCTTTAATGGTCTAATATTTATTTATAGGGCTCCTCAACTCGAGGTTTTGCAGATGACTCATCTGAACTAAGCATTGGATAGTGATGATTACCTCAGGTCAGTATTTAATGAGCAATTTACGTGAATACAACTGTGCTAATGGCTACTGTTCTCAATCTGAATTTTCTGCACTTGAAACCTGTTTCTTTTGAAATAATAATATATTATTTAAAGTCAGCCTGGCTCCTGGGCAAGCTTATATTGTTCACTATTTCATGAATTTTGGCCTTACAAACAGGAATCAAATTAGTTTAATCATTGTTTATTTGACTGCTTGATTGCCTGCGCTTCACTGTATGAGCTCTGGGATGTTTCACAAGCAAATTATCTGTTGACCTGATAGTCCTCTGACTTCCTCAAACGATGGCTTCTTCGACAAGGCAGTTTTCCCTCAGCGCTGTATTCAAGTGTTAGCCTAGATAATACGAGTTCAAAGTACTGACATGAAACTTGAACCCACCATCGTCTGACTCAGAAGCAAACTGAGATAGGCTGACACATAGGATAGTTTTTAGCCACTAATATTAATCCTAAACCCATAAAATAAAAGTACATTTTGATGCTGTAGCCTGAATGTCACTCGCTATCAGAAATATAAAATTATAATGGTACATCAACACATTTACACTTACCATGAATGTCAGATATGTAACCTGTACTAAAGACCAAAATTAAAATGGAGTTTAAATTTACTCTAATTATTTGTACTTTCTTTCTCTGCCTAAACCTGGAACTTCCCCTCTCTCAGATAAAAACATATAAATATTAAGAGGCTCCCAATTAGTGAACAATGATATTGCAATATAGCAACATTCTGCAAAGAATTAAAGAACACTTTATGTGTTATTTTGTTCAATGGGTATTAGGGCTTTTTTCATAATTTTACACCAGAGAGAAAGGCAAATGTTCTGCATGTCTAAATGCATTAACTACTACATACCAATCTGTGGCATAACAAGAATGATCAGTATCTAATATGCAGGTTACCACACTGATTATCCACAAGATGTGTGTTTCCTAATATAACACCTTCAAAGCCCCCCATGGCCTTGCTTCCCCCTACCTCTGTGACCTCCTAACCCCCTATTAACCTGCCCGTTCCCTCCGTTCAGCAGGCTCTGAATTGCTTCCCGTCCCCCACCTCGCCCGTCCCACCAATGGAGGGCGAGCTTTCAGCCACTCTGCCCCCACCCTCTGGAACTCCATCCCACAGTCCCTCCGCTAGTTCATAAGAGGTCATTTATATGGCATGATTAGCATTGATTTAATAATAATCCTTGTATTTGATATAGCACCTTTTCATGTCTTCAAGACATCTCAAGAACTTCACAGAATACACTGTAAAAGGAATTGACTATATATTTTGTGGGCGAAACGCGGCAGCCAATTGTACCACGAACAGTCGTGAATTGGTGACCAAAAATAATTTTTGTGATGTAATGTCACATCAACCCTACGAGTGCAGTCCAAACAGCAACAATTTACATTTATATTATGTTTTCACATCAACTGCAATCTGTGTGCGGGCTAAAGGGTGGGGGAGAAGAAAGGTGGCCAAAAGCACGGTCAAAGAGAAAAGTGTTGAGATGGGTTTTGAAAATAGAGGTAGTGGGCAAGAAAAAGGAGTCTGGGAATGGAGTTCCAGAGAGCAGGACAGAGTGTTTGACGGTAGGACGTAAATCAGTTTAGTTTAAATGCTGAAGGAATCAATTCAATTAGATCAATTCTATTTTCACTTTTTAAGCATTATTTTACTTTTTTTCCCTTACTTACTCTCATCTATCCTAAACTTCCTAGTAGTTTTACAATAGTAGATTTTCCTCCTCCCGGCACTCTCCCTCCATTTCATGTGCCAGAACACATGCTGGCAGTCTAAGTCATCAGCCTGTGTGTTTTGATGACAACATTGCAATGTAATTTGATTCAACTCTTCATAATGCAGTGTAACTTGTCAAAATGTAATTGCACCATTGCCCACACCGCACTAAAAATGCAAAAGAAAAGTCAATTTGTCAAAATCAAATTGCAAAACTCCTAAAGCAATCTTTCAAAGGTTTGAAATTACATCAGTGTAGTCAAAAGGATTACAATATTATCCGGGTTATGTGAAAATCCTGGTAGCTGGATAATTAAAAGAAAAATACTTCTGTGCATAAATTTCACCAAACTTTTTCACTGCTGTGTATTATCACAGGTGGGATAAATAAAACTCCAGTCTCTAAGGGTCACTTGTGCCGGGTACTATGGTGTGACCATTAACAAACAGGCTGATGTTATTGTAGTAAAACTGTAGGCTGTTTAATTCTATCCGTTCAACAATTTCCTGAGTGAAGTTGGTTATAGTTGTGCTGCTTTTAATGAGAATCTAGCAAAACATGTTGCATAATATCCGCTAGGATTTTTTTTGTGTAAATCTTATAAGATCCCAGTTATTCAGCTACGTTATTATGAAAATTCAAGGACTGTGACTTCATGGCCAAAAAGTGCAACATAGAGGAAATTGTAAATGCCAACCCGTAGATTGAATAATTGGTACATAGCGGACTTGTATTTATGCTTAATTGCTAAATTAAGCTGAATTTCTAATTATTTTCCAGAGGTTTTGTTTTTCCTACCAAGAGTAAAAATTTGA